ACTGGGGCTGGGGAGGGCATGGGGAGCAGCACTACCAGGTCCCCTGGGGGTGCAGTGCTGGCCATGCCCCAGGGTGCCAAAGGGTGATGCTCCAAGTGCACCCCGGGTGTGGGGCTGGGCCCCCGCGGCAGCAGGGACAAGCAGACAGCGCTGCAGCGACCAGGGCAGACGGGAGCTGAGACACCGGTGGGCACGGCAGGACCAGGGGGCAGCCCTGGGGCTGTGCAGCGCCCCCCTCTCCGGCACTGCCGGCTGCCCTGCACTAATGCTGCCCATTGCTCCGGCAGCTCCAGCGAGCTTCCTGCCTCTTGCTCCTGCTCCTGCTCTGCTCCCTGGCTGCTGGCCGGCAGAGTCTGCCCGAGTGCTGCCGGCAGAAGACCTGCTCCTGCCGCATCTATGACCTCCTGCACGGCATGGGCAACCACGCCGCCGGCATCCTCACGCTGGGCAAGAGGAAGAGTGTCCCGCCGGCATTCCAGAGCCGGCTCTACCGCCTGCTGCACAGCTCTGGCAACCATGCCGCTGGCATCCTTACCATGGGCAAGCGTGGGGAGCACCCTGGCACTGCCTGCCACAACGCACTGGGCTGCCCCACAGGCACGGATGCCCAGCCGATGCCAGCCCTGCAGGGCACTGATGCCAGCCCTGCCAGCGCCAGGGAGTGCCAGGGACACTCGGAAAAGGACCTGACCAAGAGCCAGGCCCAGGGAGCTGCAAAGAGCTTTTACTGAGAGGTGTGGGGGCAGCGGGAGCAGAGAGGGTATCCCTGGGGGGATGGACCCCAGGGACACACGCCCAGAGCTCGGTGTAAATAGCACTTTTACATACCTCCTCCTGGCCCTGGCTGAGCCTGCTCAGGGCACCGCAGGCACCGCTGGCCTTTTACAATAAATGGTAGCCTGATGTTACTCGGCTCTGCCTTCTTTCTGGGGAGGGGCCAGGGGGGCACAGCTCTGCTCCGGGGCAGCCGGCGAGGTTGGTACCTTCCTCTGTGGTGCCTGGACATGGACTCATCTGTGGTGCCTGCGCTGGGGGCGTGCGTGGGCCCAGCTGGGTGGATGCAGGACAAGAACTGGAGCGAACCGAGCCTTGACCAGGCTGCCTGGGAGCGGGGGGGGTGTTTGTGAAGTCTCCGTAAAGGGCCCGGAGCACCCCCCACCACAGCACCAGGGACCCTCTGGTGACCCTCCTGTGGCCACAGGTCCCTGATATCCACCCCACCACCCTCCCACCTCCCTGTCCCCGTGCAGGGTCCTGAGGAGGGCTCCGGCTGGGTCCTGTCACCCCTGGGTGCCCCTCAGGGGGTCCTGCAGGGCACGGCCTTGCCCTGCAGTCCCCCGGCTGAGCCCCAAGCAGCGGGGCTGGGGCTGGTGTCCCACAGCAGGTGCCCCCGGGCACGCCGAGTCCTGCCCTTTCCGCATCCTCCGTGGGCCCCCCTGTCCCCGTGCAGGGTCCTGAGGAGGGCTCCGGCTGGGTCCTGTCACCCCTGGGTGCCCCTCAGGGGGTCCTGCAGGGCACGGCCTTGCCCTGCAGTCCCCCGGCTGAGCCCCAAGCAGCGGGGCTGGGGCTGGTGTCCCACAGCAGGTGCCCCCGGGCACGCCGAGTCCTGCCCTTTCCGCATCCTCCGTGGGCCCGGGAGGGCTGGTGCCTCCCGGTGCCGAGCAGGTGCCGGTGCGGCAGGGCCCGGTGCAGAGCGGGTCCCGGTGCAGAGCAGGTCCCGGCGCCACCAACCCGGTGCCCCCCGGGACTGAGCGATGCCCCCGGG